TTAAAAATAAATTGGAATTTTTTTTTTAGGATGGCTACATTCAGGTGATATCGGTTATTTCGACAGCGATGGAGAACTTTTCATTTTCGACAGAATAAAGGAGCTTATGAAATATAGGGGACATCAAATATCACCTGGAGAAATTGAGGCTGTATTACAGTTACATCCAGGAGTGTTGGAAGTTGCAGTAGTAGCGGTACCTCATGCAACAGACGACGAACATCCTCTTGCATATGTTAGCAAAAAGCCCGGCTTCAAGGTAATCTTGTTGTAAATATAAGGAATTAACAGAGCGGGAGTTTATTTATTGTAGATAATAAAATTAAGAATTAATATTTTTTCGAAAAATTTTATTTAAAAAATTGTTTTTATAGGTGACGGAAAAAGAATTGATAGATCTCGTTGCAAGTAAAATGAGTGATCAATACAAATTGCGTGCCGGAGTGATATTTCTGGATACTTTTCCGTACACAGGTTCTGGGAAAATTGCAAAAAAGGATTTAAGAGCAATGGCTAAAAAACTAGAAAAAGTAGAATGAAATGACATTAATTATAATTTTTTCACAATGGTGCAGGATTAAAAGTATAATACAATGCGCGCAAGATAAGAGACTTAGTAGTGTCATTTTCTGAACTTTGCCAGAGACTCTTTTCCTGACTTAGTAGTGTCGTTTTTTGAACTTTGCCGGAGACACTACCGCGTCTCCTGATATATACATAGAGTAGATGAAAAAGAGCTAAATTCTTAAATTTCATATTTAATTTATGTATATATTTATGTAAATTAACAATAGTTATATATTATTTTTTTCATAATTTTAAAATGTTTTAAAATAACAAGTCTTTAATAGTTTTATAAAAAAAATACTTAATATAATTTCTAACTAATTTTAAATTTTTAATTGACAAAATTAAACAATTTTTTTGTATATAAATCTAGTCCTTAACAATAGACACAAGCCAGGTTATGGCTTTGTAAATATTTGTTAAGGTTTAATTAATTAAATTTAAAAACTGATCAAATTAATAAACAATTGTACATTTTTTAAATATTATTTTAGATGCATAAAATAAGTTCGTAAATTTTTGTTATATAATGATTACAACAAAATTGCGTAACTATTTATTTGCAGAGTATTACATATAAATAAAAGTTATTAAAAAATATTTGATAATGAATTTTGGTTATTTTACGTAAAATTATTATATAACAAAAATATTATTTGGCACCCAGTGAGAAATGACAAGTCGAAAATACATATATCAGCCGCGTATAGACGTCTATAAAGGTTTATTAAATGTCTATGAAACGTTTCTTCGACCTGTATTTCTCACTGTGCATGTAAGTAAGGGCACAGAAAAGTATGTGTGTATATTAACAGTCATAGAAATTTTGAAATATTGTTAAATGTTAAAATTTTGTAATTTATTGCAATTAATTAACGACAAAATCAAATGTAATAAATTAGTCATATATCTTAAATTTCTTTCGGATATCCCCGTGCTTTTGCCTCTTTAAACATAGCTACAATAGAATCCAAAGTCTCCTCTCCAGATAGGATAAATTGATTAAAAGACAGCAAGAAACCATAACGACCACGATTACGCAACTCATATGTGTACACAATAGGTTAACCATAAACATCTCTAATATAATCCGAACTAACTCCAATACACACATCTAGAAAAAATTGTACAAAAATAATATATTTAATTGGAAACTTTTATCTCACAAAATGTAACATGTAATAAATTAGTTTCAGCTATTGCAGAAAAAATTTTTAATTTTAAAAATAAAAAATTTGAAGTTTAGGCTCGCAAAATTTAAATCGATGGAGTAGCAGAAAGATCTCAAGCCAAAGAAGATTGTAATTCTTAATATTTATTATTATAACCAATGTTTCTTATAAGCAGCAAACGTTTTGAATAATTATTCAGCCATCTTCCAAGTGCCACCGTTGCAATTTTGCTTAATAGAAGATTGTAGATTTAGTTCGTCATTATTAAAACTCTTTTGGAAATAAAGTCACGTATGTGATTGCGAGAAAATCGTGTTTATGTAGTTATATAAAATGTGTTCAACACCTACATAATCACATCTTTTTAGCTCCGTGAAAATAAAAAATCCTTTTCTGTAATTAAAGTTCGTATACTAATAGTATAGAAAACGGTCGATTTAAAAGGATTTTTTATTCCACGCAGCTAAAAAAGAATTTCACGAAAATAAAAGATAAAACAGGTCGATACCTAAAGTTATTTATTATTGCTTTTATAGAATCACAAATCCTTTTGTGTGGTTAATTTAGACATATTAATGTAACGTTTATTAGTGTTACGTTAATCAATACAGGTATTTTAATATAACATTTATTAATGTTACGTTAATTAATATGCTTGTATTTTGCTAATTTAACGTCACACGTTACATGAATGTGCCTGTATAGTACAGTATGCCTGAACTTTATTAAATTTGACGTAATATTCTGTATATACATAAGTACAAAAAATTAATCTAATAATCATTACAAATGATGAATATTACTACGTACCTATACATTATTTTATATAACAGACTGTAAAAAATATGAATAAATAGAAATATGTAAAAATAATTATATATTTTAAAATTTTTTCAGAAAAATCACCAATTTCATTTAATGAAAACATTAATAAAAAACATGTAGCATTAATCTTAAAATTTATTAATTTTTTCCATTTTATTGAAATACTTGTAGCATAATATATTTATCCCTCTTTTTTACTTCTTTTAATAATAGTTTATATAGTTAAATAAAAATTTTATGTGCTCTTTTTATTATAGTCATTAAACGGTAGCCGATACTTTATTTCTCAGGTAAAGCTCAAAATCATCTTTGAAAATGACGATATAGCAGAAACCATGATGCAAGTCGTGAGAGAAGAGAACTTTATTGTTCAATTAATTATTTTATTCATATATAATTTATTTATGCATGTTATTAATAATTTTCATTCAAACAGCATAGATTCCTAAAATTCTGGATATCATGTTTTATTTAAGTATTTAATAAATTTTTGCGTTTAAGCTTTCGCTTTTCGTGTTTCGTTTTCCCTCGTAATACGTAATATACATGATATAAAAAAAGGAAAAACATTAAAATACATATATTCTCTATCTTTATTTAACAGCAGCGTGTAAAACATCTCTCTCAGTGCAGCACTGAAATTGATGACAGAGAAAAAGATATCAATAAATATATGTCGCACGATGAATTGTTAATTCATGTACACAATGTTTTTATATCGGACAATTTCACGGATTCTTCTTGTTGCTCTTCTTCAAGATTAGATTTTTTTTTGTATAAACACTTTTCTGAATAGTATGAAAATAGTTGCGAATATGTAAAAGAAATTTGTAAGTCAAAGAAGTTTATGTATATCTGTTTGCAAGTTTGTATTTAAAGGTTGGATTCTGTATGAGTAATTTCAATAAAAATGTACCGAGCTACTCGAGTCGTCGCAAAAATTCAGTCAAGAAACCGAAACAGGTGCAAGCATTTGCAGAATGTCGTGCAAATAAATCACCGCCGATATTTGAATTACATTGTAACAAAGCGTATTTTTTTTACGCCTCACGGGCGGTGCATAACGAGGTGGAATTCTTTTTGACGTAAGTAGCAAAGCGGATTCTTACGATGCGGAATAACTCGTCGGTTCGCCAAAATTCGTTCGTGTGGTTTTCGGGAGGCTCCAAATTAACAAAAGCAAATTAAACAAAATAAAAATTTATTCAAGAAAACATTTGAAGATTATATAATAAAGAAAACATAAAAAAAGTGACAATGGGTACATGAGTATCTTCCTAATGTCTCAACGGTGTAAACGGGTACGGATATAAATGTGAACGAATGGACAAATATCGGAAATTATCGAATAACAAGTAAACTGCGTAAATCAATAAACGTGTTGCGTCTTTCACCGAAATTAAATAACTAAATTTAATTATCTCACGTAGACTAACAAATTAATTTCTTTAAGAAAAATTATAATTTCGCACTAACATTCCGCGACGGCTCTCTATGCCTTTCTATTATATTAATTGATAGTTATTATTTGAGCCTTTCCTTTATATGTGTTAGATTGTTTTAAATTTAATTAATTCTAAGCTAATTTGGTCGGTTAGAAAATAAGGCAATAAACAGAGTTAACGTACGAGTATAATTAATCCTAAGTCGGTCGGTTCGTACGGTACGGAGTAAAAATATTAAACAATAAGCGATACCGCGTATATCCGAGCCTGATGAGTTGACGACGGTTGCCGGTGCGCTGCGTTCGGAGACGGAGAGAATCTTTTCTCTTACGAGGGATACAAGAAGTCGATGCCGGGAACACCCGACCGAAGCAGAGAACGCCCTGCTCCTAGAACGACGAGACAGGATGGGAGCAAGTACGACCGGAAGTTCAGAGTGCGCCCTGAGACCTGTCCGAGTCGTACTCGGGGGAATGGTGCTGGTCTGCTCCGCGAGCCGGCTTTTATACTGGTCTTCTACCTCCACTTGGGTTGCTACCCTACCCGGCAGCTACCCCTTCTCAAGCTACTACCCTCGAGTTGGGGAATTGGAATGCGGCCAGCAATGGGGGATGTTTACGTGGAGTTTGATCGGCGCTTAGTAACAGCGCGTGCTGTTACAACATATTCTTTAGTTTCAATTTATTATATATCATTTTTATGCAATGCGGCTAATTATTACGTTATGTTTATTCTCAGTCGGTAGAAATTAGGCACACGTTTTCATCCGTTCTAAGAGAATGCGCCCACATCATAAATAACGAACTCAAGGAGATCAAAATGTACTTTTTACATATTTATGTGGAATAACTTTCCAAGATTCTTATATCCCGTTGTCAATTTTGACTGAATTTGATTATCGAAACGTCAGATTACGGCAGCTAATGGAGAGTGGAAACAATCCATCGACGATATGGAGAATCAAGGAGCAGAGAAAACAAGAGGAACAGATGAAGGAGATGAAAATGTTGCAAGAACGACATTTGAGCGCATTACAGTCGCGAAAATACGCTATTCTGGCCAAGCAGCTGTTGGTGAACAATAGCAAGCTGCAAACCGAGAAAGTTCGAAAAGAGGTGACATTGCGTTTTTCACGTTAAAATTAAAATCTTTTAAACTGCATTATTTAGAACAGATATTAATAATAAACAATGTAAATATGCTAGTAGCTCAACCACTTTTCAGCACGCAGTGCAGCATGCACGAAACATCAGTGACTATAATTATCGAGTATTCATGTCACGACACTCGTTCATTTTTTTGCGTACCTATACATTATTTATTAGTAAAATACTTCTTGTCACTGTTGCATAACAAAAAGGTATTTGCTTTACTGCTATACATATATAGTGGATAGTAATTCGAACTTTGAGCCAAGACTTTCTTCATATGCAATGTCTACCTGGGCGTATACGCAGAACAAATCGATATAAATCTGATATTAACTTGTTCACATAACGTTGCCTGTTTTTGCATCGATAAAAAAAAGAATCATATATTGCAATATACAGGGTGTCCCATTATAAAACATCCACGCAAATTACTCCGAAGATAAGGGTGATAGCAAGAAATGGCCTTAACAAACGTTGTAGGATTAAAAGGGGGCCAATTGAGGGTGACCTTGACTTTGACCTTGCAGTTGATTTTCAAGGTCATTTGAAGGTCAGAGTTATTTTTTGAAATAGAAACCCCTATTTTTGATTCCAAAATCTAATAGCTGGTGTCAAGAGCTTTTCAAAACACTATAATGAAGTTATTTTTCATTAAGTACTTTTCGAGTTATGAGGCTTGTAAATTACAGTATTTTGACATAAAATACAAAATATCTTGTAAAATTTTCAATTTGTGGGAATTTTACCTTAATACTTTTATGCATAAAATAATAAGACAAATCAATTGGTATAAACAAAACACATAGTTGCTTTCAAGAAAAAATATGTAGTTTGCAACATGCAACTGCATACTTTTTCTTGAAAGCAACTATGTGTTTTGTTTATACTAATTGATTCGTCTTATTATTTTATGCATAAAAGTATTAAGGTAAGATTCCCAAAAATTGAATATTTTACAAGATATTTTGTATTTTATGTCAAAATACTGTAATTTACAAGCCTCATAACTCGAAAAGTACTTAATGAAAAATAACTTCATTATAGTGTTTTGAAAAGCTCTTGACACCAGCTATTAGATTTTGGAATCAAAAATAAAGGTTTCTATTTCAAAAAATAACTCTGATCTTCAAATGACCTTGAAAATCAACTGCGAGGTTAAAGTCAAGGTCACCATCAAATAGATCTCTCGAAATCATGTAAATTTTGTCTGAGCCATTTTTTTGTACAAGCACATCCCTACGTTTTAAAAGGGTGGGACGGGTGGTCTGAAACACCCGGTATATATATAAATTTCACAAATTTGTGTTGAATTAATGGAGCCAACAAATGCGAAGCATGCTCAGAACGCAAATTCCACAGCGTTCCCTAACAAAATATTTCCATTTTGCCTATGAATGTTTTCCACATTTTTTTCTTACAACACTCTTAAGTCGAAATTCAAGCTTAGTCAGTTTCGATATTAGCAGTGTCAGTTGCTTTTAATCTCAGTAGAAGCCATAAGTCATTTTTAATATTACACAAAAATAAAGATACGGATATATGAAGAAGTCATAAGAAAAAGACAAGGTAATAATTGCATATACAATGAGATTGTAACATATTCAAGAAAATAGAAGCATTATTCATAATATTTTTTAACGTATATTCTATAGAATGGAACTATCTAAGAACGATATAACATTCAACTTGGATTTCAATATTGAACGTTTAGTTTTACGGACACTAAAAGCTACACCGAATTTTGTTGGTCAGGTAATAAGTTTTTATTAATAAAATTTTATCTGTTATAATATAAAAAAATGAAGGAGTCATTTGTTAGTTAACAATGCCGAATTATGCGATCTTATTAGACAATACGTACAGTACGATTTGATAGTAGCGTGATTGATACGTCTCGTAGGTGGAATATGAAACGGGTAGACAAAGTACATTTCAGGAGATGAGAGAGAAAAGTGTAATGTGTGCATTATGGTTAAAAAAACAAGGTATTAAACCTGATGACATAGTAGCGATATGTACGAATAACCATTTTGATGCCTACATACCGTATCTAGCGTGTTTATATTTAAGTGTAATTGCAAATCCGTGGGATGTTTATCTCACGAAAACGGAAGGTAAGTAAAAGATAAATTAAAATTTTGTTACTATAATTATAAAATTTATTTTTACAGTTATTTATTTATTAAAAACACTTACAGGAAACTTAAGATATTTTTTGAATCTATGCAGACCAAAGGTAATGTTCATCGACAGTAATATTGCTGCAACTGTTTATAAGACTGCAACAGAATTTAATTTTTCTACAAAAATTGTAGTTTTCGGTAAAATTGAAAGATTCGAATCTCTTCAATCAATTCTGAATAATAATTCTCATAAAGCCGAAATTGATAAATTTTACGCTTCTAAGAACTTAAGACAGAATCACACGGTGATGATATTGTTCACTTCCGGTACGACGGGTTTGCCGAAAGCTGTGAACATTTCTGACACAATTTTTACAGATTGGGCAAACGGTCGGTCCATCCTATTTCATAATAGCATCTGTCTGTGGTTCGTATCTTTGGGTTGCATTATCGGCGCTGTTATGACTGTTCGTAGTGTGCTCTCTCGTGTCAAAGTAATAAAACCAACACAATCTTTCTATCCAGAAGATATGTGTGACATGATACAAAAGCATAAGGTACGTGCATTCAAGTTTTTGTTGAAAATTTAAAAGATGCAAAATATTTATACCTTTTTTAAATATATTTTTATTTAATTTAGGTTTCTTGGATATTTCTTGAGACTAATATGTTGTATGATTTACAATCTTCTTTAAGATGTGATCTCTTAACACGATATGATATATCTTCCTTGAAATATGTCATTTTTGGTGGTTTTAGACAATCTGGTCCTATTCACAGGAGATTTTGTGAAACATTGCCAGGCGTTTCTATCATTCAAATATATTGTGTGTATACACATAGCACCTGTAATTAACTATGGACAAAACAGTACCACAATATTAAAAATTTTGATTCTAAAATTATTTTAGATACGACTGAAACTGGTATTGTCACACATCAAAGGAGACTTGAAAAGTATGGCTCTAGTGGTCAGTCAGCTATAAATGTTCACTTAAAGATCATTGATACATACGGCAATATGTGCGATCCAATGGACATTGGTAGTATTCTTTACCATACTTCGGGATTATTTAACAGCTATTATAAAAATAACACAGCTACACAGATTGCTGTAAACAAGCAAGGTTAGTTTTAACTTTTTTTCATTAATTTTATAACTGTAATATATAATATATCTATGTATAGATGTTTTCAAATATGCACGTCATAAAATTCCAATATGTAGTTTTAATTAAAGACATTTATTGTCGAATTAATTATTTGAGAAAATCAATTTAAACTTTACGAAAATGTGAAATAATACAAATCAGTAATAGAAGAATATACATTTATGATAAATGATGGTTATTACAGGATGGTTCTGTACTGGAGATGTCGGTTTTTTCGATAATGATGGTGATATCTTTGTTCTCGATCGCAAAGTGAATGTTTATAATGGTGTGGTGTGTCGTACAATACCAGTCGAAATTGAAAACGCGTTATGCTTGCATCCGAATGTACACAGTGTCTATATAATACCTATGTTGTTTCTAAATGAAAACCATCTAATGATATTTGTTAAAAAAAAGAGTCCGAATAAACAGGTTTGAAGCAGTGCTGCCAGTCGGGCCGGGTTGCCCCTCCAGTCCCTTCCAAAAACCAGGCTATGCCCAGTAACGTATTGTAAGCGTGCGGATCCCAGTAAATATAAATCTAAATTTTGATTTTTTTGATAACACAGATTGAAGACTAAATTTATGAAGAATAAGATAGGATAAAAATAATTATTTAAAAAAAGGAATAGGATGAGAATAATTGTAAAAAAACATTCTTGTATAATTATAAAGAAATACTTTATTTGGCAGAAATTATTAAGAATAACAACATTTGTTGCAAGGGTAAGGAAAACTGCCAAAAACCTTACCAGTATCTGTCTGTTCACTGGGATTGTGCCAAAACTGCACCCACAACACGTTACTGTGGTTACCATGGTTACCGTGCGCGCGGCCTAGCCGTTGGAGGGGCTACCCGGCCCGACTGGCAGCACTGGTTTGAAGCTTTTTTATGAAATCAAACAATTTTAATTATAACAAATTTTATATTATTATGTTTTAGGTTAAAACAAAACACTTGGTAAAATTAATACATCAGTATTACGGTTTGGGACTAATGTACTCCGTAAAATATAAGCTTCACTTTTATATTGCAGATGAGATACCACGTTATTCCAATGGCAAAATGCATCTATTATCGTTACTTCAATTTTAAAAAAAGTTTTCCTCATAAAAAACCTTTTCAAAGAACTGTACTTTCAAAAATATATTATATTAAAAAAAAGTTTTTCTCACAAAAAACCTTTCCAAAAAAATTGTACTTTTAAAAAAAGTTGTATATATTAAATAAAAATTTGCTACATATTCTGTCTATAAAAGAGGTGATATCAGAAAATGACGCCAAGTTTAAATAAAGAACCTTTCAAAAAAAGTTGCATGTATATCTAATTATTTATTTAAAAATGATATTTATGTTTATATCTAG